ATATAACATCTTTGATTGAATGGGCGATTTTTGAAGAGGAAAAATTCAAAATGTTTCAGTCTCTGTTTGATAAGTTTGTCCATAAACGCTACTGGTAAGTTCAACCTATCGATTTCTTCCACTTTGTACCGGCTTAATCAGAATCCAACATTTAGATATAAAATGGTGGAATTTTGAATTTAGAAACACCCGAAGATGTGTCCATACGTTAATTGTTATAGAACCCTCGATATTACACGCGCGTATCCTTCCATGAAAAGTTCGTATGGTTCCAAAGTAAACAAATTCTCGTGCCCTTAAATGAGAAAAATGGTCAAAACTTAATAAAACGTGAGTAATATACGTATTTTACAATCATGTAGTGACAAATTGCTTCTTTTGTGACATTATTTTTCAATTTTGGAAATAATATTAATGTTATTGTATTAAACCAAATAATAAATATGAATCTGACAACATCTTTTCAAAATTTATGGTAACTTAACAGTTAATGAAACTTAAATTGCATGTTAGAGGCAATATATTTTCATAACAGGTGACTCTTAATCACCTATGCATAAAATTTTAAAAAAACGGATTCAAAGTCCTTCATCATGTATGACATGTAACATGTATATATTGACTACTTGATGTTTTTAAGCTTTGAAATAATAAGGTATGACAATGATACTTTATTTCTTCAATAATTGTTGCCAAAGCTGTAAAATGTGGTTTAATTGGCAGACCGTTCAGTTCTTAAAGCCCTTTGGAACTGAATTGCCTTAATGTTCGTCTTCTGTCTTGCTTCGTCGGTCCCTTATAGGTGATCTTCTTGTTGCACTGTCTTTCTTTAAGGCCTTGAGTACTTTTATTATGGTCATTGTGTTTTCTTTTGTATGTTTCTACATGAGCATTTCGATGTTTTACTTATTTCACCTTTTGTAACCATGACAAATGTTAAAGTTTCACTTGGCGTGGATTCATTTTATTTACACTGTCTCGTTTATAGGAACATGGTGGGGCTAAGAGTGACGTTTGGTGCACCATTAACCGGTTTAAACTCCCAAGCAGTATCCTGGTTTGGTTTGGGATCCTCCTGGGCTCCTTGCCACTGGCTCTTGTTGCTGAATCGTGTGGGGATAGCTGTCATTGAACGCCGCCTTTCCTTGTTGATCTTGTTTTTCATATCTTTTGGTCTGGTGGTTAACGCGCCGGACTAGTAATCAAAGGATTGCTGACCGCGTGGGTTCAAACCCTGTCAGGCACAAGCCGTTGTTTCCTTGATTACTTAGTACAAGCTGGCTCCAGAAATGGATTCGAGAGTATTTCAATAAGCTTATAGCTTCCAACACAACCGAAGTAGAATAAACTTGTTTAAACTAAACTAAACTAAAACAATGGAATTCGCGCGGAATAGTTTGAAATAATTGTTTTTTAGAATCATAGAAATTGTTTGGACCCATGCCATTTAAGTGTTCTTTAATAAGTGGTTATATCTATGTGACTGGTCGTAATGTATATACTTAAAATCATCTTTGAAGGTTACGTATTTAAGTGTCCTTTAATAAGTGGTTATATCTATGTGACTGGTCGTAATGTATATACCTAAAATAATCTTTGAAGGTTACGTGTAAGATTTCATTGAACTTATTATAGACCCTTTTAGAATAATATTTTCCATAGCAACGTATGTTGTATTTCGCGCATGCGCATTCTGCGTAGGGCAAAAAGCTCAATAAAGATAGAATACATTTAAGTGTACTTTAAGGCTTTTCAAAGGGGTGATTTCAAGTTATGCCACCAAGAAAAAAGAAATTTTGGGATGAATTGAAGTGGTAAGTACTTAAAACGTGAATTGATATTTATAATAGATATACAAAATTAGCGGGACTTATAATTCAACGACCAAAAGTCCTCTGTTCAAGGTATCATTAGGTGACGTTTTCTTCAGTAATTTAAATTAAAACAACAGCGTGTTAAAGATCGCATTTTTTACCCATGTATTACATATTATTACACAATTGGTATTCCTTTGAAAATGGATTGACAAGGCGGTAAGTGTCAAACAGGTTGACACATGACCGGTTGTTATTTGCCAGCTAGTTTATCATTCAACCGGGTCGTTTTAGTATCATGACATGGTTAATTACTTAAAACTATGAACATGATTAATCGTAATTTAAGTAACTTTTATTTATACCAATCTGATCAATGTTTATTGATTTTGTGAAGTGACAAATAGTGTACGTGACGTGCATTTCCATGTGTTACAAGGAACCGGACAAAATGTGTGTTATTCAACCATCATCTATACTTCTCAACAGTTTGAAAAATTATTTAAATATATCTATGTGACTTAAAAAAATATGTTTGGCATCACAGTCATGTCGAATAAAGGGTAAAATTAGATTAACTGAAATCTAAATGTGCATTATTAAGTACGTGTTCCGACTTTTTTCAGATTGATAATTAACCTCGATTTTATATGTTATAAAATTTATATAGAATTTTATATATAATATGTTATAATAAAATTGCTTTTATATGGACGATTTCAACAATAATTAAATTGAATTCTTTATTTGCCAATATATATCGCGTCGTAAAAAGATCTTTAAAATCGATGAGTTTTTAAAAGGAAAATTGCTGAGTTTACTCTAAAAAAATGTTTATTTGTTCTGACGCATGTTTGAATATCGCGATTATTCTTTGTGTAACCTTCATAGGACGCAGCAAATCCGCAATGTTTGGAATCTGGGATAGGTGAAGTCTGGTCGAATTCGTTATAAGGTTATTCTATAAATAAACAAGCACAAATGTTGTTGCAATGCAGCAATTGAGAAGCTCCGCGCAAAAAAATCGCTCATTACAGATACCATACCAAATCATTTCTGCACACAAGTCATTTTCTATTTAGATTGAGGACTAGTCATTATTGACGATGTTTTTTAAATCATTTAAATTTGCATAATTATACTATCGTATGCACTCTCCATGACAGAGGGGCCAGATATTAAATTAAAAAAATGCTTCCACTGATGCCTACTTGGTAAGGAAACTAATTTCAATACAAACAAGACTTGCAAGACTTTTAAATGTTATGTGACATGACAGTAGTGCAACATTGTTCTGTTTCTCATTACTTTAGTCAGTAAGATAATAAAAATATCAAAACATGTGCATTTTCTTTTTCACCTATAATGCTACTCACCTTTCATGCATGGCATGTTGATATATTGAAACATTATTTATCAATGGAAGACTGTTACCTGTATTTCAGACAGATATCATAGGGTATGAGGAAATTCACTAACATCGTGTTCATGCCAGTCAAAGATAAAAAACTACTTGACATAGGTTATAAATAAAGAGCTATTGTTAATTGATTTATTGTGAGATGAATCCACTATTTTGTTGAATTGCTTCAAAATCCTCGTCTGTCCCACCAGTGTGTTTACATTCCTATAAACCCATAACAATTCGACGAAAGTTTCCGTTGTTAAAATACAGTATTCGGCAAATCAACGTTCCACTCAAACCACCATAAAACCGATTGCCTTCAAACAAAATGGAATCAACTTCTAATAGCAAAAATTCGGAACAACAGGGTCGATTAAAATAATCAGGGGAGCTATTAATTTACTTTCGATAAGTTATAAAGGGTGCAATTTATGGTTGAATATGTTTGCATTTCATTCTGCAAAACTCTCCAGTTCGTTCAATTACCATAGCGGTTAATTAAACTACTTATATAAATTTGTTTGTTTGTTTGTTTGTTTGTTTGTTTTGGGTTTTAAGTCACATCGACACAGTATAGGTCATATCGCGATGTTCCAGCTTTACTGGTGGAGGAAGACCTCAGGTGCCCTTCCATGCATTGTTTCAGGCACGAACGGGCACCTGAGTAGAACCACCGACGTTCCGTAAGCTAGCTGGATAGCTTCCTCACATGAAAGAATCCAAAGTCCCTGTCGGGATTCGAACCCACAGCGGTGAGGGGCAAGTGGTTTGAAGTCAACGACCTTAACCACTCGGCCACGGACACCCCTCACTTATATAAATAGATTTTCGGACTTTCTCAATGTTAAGGTCATATCTTTTTATAACTTTGTTCCCGTTCTCATTCATTAATATGACATGCAGCGAATCACCGAAGGGGAGACCAATAAATGACTTTACATAATATAAATCGAAAGGATATTGTGCTTCCGAATTTATTTTTAGCTATAAATCGAAAGGATTAATTGATAAAAATCGGGTTCAAGGACAAATAAAAAAATAGTAAACACAAATAGCTCCGCGCCCACAGGAAACACATTAAAATTGAAGGTGTTACACACCCTTTAATTTGACCGATTTACATTTCAGCTTTACAAGGCCTATAATGATGTTTTTTTTTGGGAAAAAAAACTGATCTGTAATTGTTTTGTAAGTTTTGTTCGACTTTTTGTTATATATTGTCTGGTAACGTGTATAGATTAAAATTGAATACTAATAAAGCAAAGTGACTTCTTTATATCGATAAAGAAAGGACCCTATCTCTTCAGTTTTACAGATAAACTGGTACCATGTTTTGGTAACAAATTCTGTGGTTGTGTTTTTTTTTTAATATTCGTAAGTCAAAAAGTATATTTCCAGTACATTTATTAAATTTCATCGCTAGGTTTGAACCAAAAATCTTATAATTTGATCTACTGTTTGACTTTGGCATCCGTCAGAACACATCGCGGTCCTTCATAAAATAGTAACAGAAATAACTTTTCTTTAGTCCATTTACACTTAGCCTAATAGTGTGTACTTCTATATGTATATCATTGGAAACCGAAAGTGAACGTAAAAATGTATTTGAATATCCCAATTCACAAACCCAATTAAAAACATGACATCCGTTATTCCATGAAAAAGATTATGCCTGGTTAAAAATGTGAAAATACACTACAAATGTACATGTACTATATCATTGAACTGATAGAGAAAGATTTATGTTACTATCATACGTTTTAAAATGTAATATTACTTACGGTTAAGTATCTTCTTTAATCCATTTACATTGTTTTAAATCAAGTGGTATGAAATTATGCACAAGGTTCATCTTTAAAATGTTTTCAATTCAAATGTTAAAAGGAATTTTAAGTGGTACATTTGGTCCAGGAAAACTTGTAACACTATTCTCCTAAAGAATTAGTTCAGTATATTGCCTCTCCTGATTGAATTTAAATAGTTTGTATCGACAGTTTCAACGTTGCTATATTCGCGATTCGGTTCAATAAGCCGCTTGCCTATTTGCCAATGAGAATTCAACAACTCATAACAATATCGGCTGGTCTATTTATGGATTATTTAAGAAATAATATATCCCAAACTGTGATTTTATTGCTCAATAACATCACTGTTTGGAGTTCGGATGCGGGGAATTATATCACGAGGGCGTAGCCCGAGTGATATAATGGTGCGCATCCGAACGACAAACAGTGATGTTATCAAGCAATAAAATCACCGATTTGGATATATTATTTCGATTCTAACACGACATCAACAAATTAATGCTGCCGTACATTATAATTAGCTAAATTGCGCCTGATTTGTTTCCGTACTTATTGTCAGCGCGTCACATTTTTGGTGGTTACGTCACGTGTATAATGATTACGTCACATGTCTAAATATAGAACGTCAAACAGTGATTTTATAGCATAATAACACACACTTTCGGTTCTTCTATGTTCAATAGGGAAAAATTCGGGTCGTGTTAGAATAGATAATATTAACGAATGAATCAGAAAAAAATGTGAGGACGAATAACATGTTTCTGTTTGTCTTGTTAAAATCATTCAAAGAGTGTATTTGCAAAGTTTTATCATTAAATCATTTTTGTTAATAATATACTGGTATGTTATCGATCTTCCTTCAGAAAATTAACTTGATTTAACGTGTTACGCTTGTTATCCGACATTTATATTTATTTAACATGATTTAATACTTCATTTGTTGAAATCTATTAACCACAAAAAGTTCCTTTAAATTGCTTTCTTACAATTTATATTATACACGAGGCTGAAAATAGAAACGTTTTTGCAGGCTTTATTATTTTAATTAATGAATTAGTTATAATTTGAATAATGAATAAACCAAAGAAATATTTAAAAGAAACATTTTTTCGGGTCGAATATCTATTTATTCATTTCAAATGAACAACACATTTTTATTCAATGCATATGCACTTATATAGCGGGTATCCTATTCAATGAATTCAACCACCGTTTAAATTAAATGCTATTGTGGTAAATGAAAGTCACATGATATCATCAAATCGTCTGCTATAGAATGTGCTTAAACGTGTGTTTATTAGTTGTAAATGGACTTTAAAATTGCAAGTTACAGCACAAAATTCTCGATTAAAACATTAATTTAGAAGAAATCATGTCTGCGACTAAAAAACGGAATATTGCAATGTAGAATGGTAAAATATATGACATCCAATAATAAACGAAAATGCAAAAAAGAAAGAAAGAAAAAAAAAAAGAAGAAAGAAAATGTTGCACAGTCGGTTTCATTGAAAGTAGATGAGCTAGTGTATACGGTAGGCAAATATATTTTTAAATACCTGATTAATATGCAAACATGTATAATTATTATGAACATTAAAAAACATAATACATGTAGCAATTGAACACATCAAGGATCATATAATATATTGGACACGTATTGAACATCGTGAACTGAGGCTACCTGATAACTTCTTATTTATTTTGTTTTCTTTTGTTCTCGATATTTTCAATGAAAAATCTTTTCATATTCAGTTCGTCTCTGTACATGAAGTAAAGCAGATTTTAGACGGCATTTGGTCAGAAAATAAAGTCATGATACTAATTTCATGAGCCAATACTTCGGATATGTATGTAAATTGTTACCTTGTATGTTTAAATACACTAACTTGCGTCCTAAAAAGGCTCGGAACTAATTACATTAAATGAAATAATTATATCTCTAAATCTAACAAGTTTGCATTTTTTCTCAATGACAAGTTAAATGGACCATTTTAAAAAATTGCCCTCTTTGCGATATTGAGGCAAGGTGCTTTCAACATCTACTTAGCCTCTTTGGAGAAATAAATGATCGACGTTTCAACCATAGTTACACCACAATCTTCTGAAAAATGGCAAGGCACAGATGACTGTAGTCTGTCCTATAACATAAGTTTATATATCTCTGTAACTTAACAATGTCATTGGCCAAACTTGGATGCCTGCGTAATTTCGTTAGCCAGCCATGTTTTAAGTTCGCAACGCATCTTTTCACTGTATAAAATAAAGGGGCATCACTTATAACTCCTCCAAGTCGTCAAAACAATTTATCAATCAACCTTCGTATTATTTCAGTTTCAAGATTAAAAATGTAATCGAAGCAGACTTATGATATTTCTTTTCTTTACCACATGCTATCTTCTTGAAATATCAGGCAATATTTCTATCCCTCAAATTAAATTTGAACGTTAAAGGGACTCCACTGAGGTTTCTTGACATGATGGGACTGAAACTATTTTTTCAGATAATTGATGTAGGTTTAGACCTGATCTTTGTGCACAATTTCAAATCATTCGCGCAAACCGTTTTTCCAGAATAGTTATTCAAATTGTGAAAAACTGACCCAAACTGAAAAGCGTTTTAACGCTTTTCACTCAAATTAGGCTAAGAAAAGCATAAAAATACGATTTTCAATTAATTTCAAAGTATATATTTCTTTACTCTCTTTGCATATATTACTGATTAAGTGCACCAGCTCATTTATGAAAGAAATTCAAATGTTATGTTTTTAGACCTTTAAACCTCAGTGGAGTCCCTTTAAAAATGGATATGACTCTTCTACGCCTGTTTTTACTTTTGTCTTGTCTAGGGCTATGAATCTTAACCTTGCATTCATACACAACACTTCTATATTCACTTATTCTTAGAGAAAAAAAACAGTTTCGCAATACAATCGCAATACATCACTATATCATTTTTCTTCATTGAAAAAGTATACTCTTCATAACATTATGTGATTGTTTTGGTTTCAAATGGGATGAAGTGTAATGTCATAAAAAAGATATCATTCTCTACAGTCGATATCTTTATTTTACAAATCACATTTTGAGACATATCTTTACATAATATTACTATTTCTTAGATAGTAACAGTAGATAAGCAAGCGATTAATCAATAATACGCAAAATAAGGTTATCTGTGTAGTGTGACGTCACACATTGGAATACTCGAGTAGATCTTTTTAGCATGGACTATCAGTTTAAAGGCACGTCGACCGACTGAAAAAAAAACCGGAACAGAAAAAGTTTGATGATCATCCATCATTTAGTTCTGTAGTAGATGTTTAAAGGTTTTTCTATTTTAAGCTCTAATTTGATGACCATGAAACGCTGATAAGAGCCTTTGTCATCTTGCTGGGGCACTCCATAGGTATTTCTTGACAACACTGATCAAGGGTAGGTGCTCTGTTTCTACAGTTATGTGCCAACCGTAAATATATTGTCTGAGCTTTGTCATGCCAAATACTATGGCAAGAAGTTCTTTCTCAATCATGGCACATAACCTTTCTGAGTTTGTCAGGATTTGTTTGCAAAGGCTATAGGTTTTCCATCTTGCATTAAAAGAGCTGCATAAGTAGCTGTACGGTCATTCTGCGAACTGTCGCACTGAAGCACTAGTGCCTCATTTTGATCAAACGAAGATAACACTGGGCCTGGACTCAGTAAGTATGTCTTTGAGTTTCTGAAATGCTCGAGATTGATGAGTATCCCATTGAAAAATGATATCTTTCTTTAATATTTCTGAGAGTAGATTAATGATCTCGGACAAGTTTGGGGCATATCTAGATAGATAAGTTATCATGTCAAATATTGTCTAGCGCTCAGAATTGTCTTTAGGCGCTTTCATCTCTTGGACAGCCCTACATTTTTCGGGGTTTGGTTTCAATCCATCAACTGAGAGGATGTGACCAGAATACTTAACCTCCGAGACACACAAAAAATTGTCTTCATTGCAGCATGCCCCTGTGTCAAGGTTAAACTGTTTAAAACGACATTAAGAGCCAACCTGTAAATCAACAAATACCTGCCCCTTTGGGGATGAATCGACTATACCAATACAAAATTCAGTGTCACTGTCAATTTATGGCAGTTCTTGCTTTGTTTTCTTCCAGCTTGACATCAATCTTTTCTTTGATGTGACTGTCCACAATTTCCACTTTTTGTTATCTGCTGCTTTGTTCTTGGTTGGCGATTGTGATTCTTTCCTGTCTCATCATGATGTTTTGACACCGATTGTCGTTTATGATTAATGTAATCAATGATATTGGAATTAGTCATCATATCACGTAATTGTGTTTGTGCATATTAATGCGACTGTGATATCCCGATCAACGATTCACCTTTTGTGTTTTTCACGAACTGTTTCCGATTTCCGAACATTGTAAAATTTTTATCTGCTGAATATAGAATTTTATTTCGGTTGTAGATGTTTTTGAATTGCATCAGAAATTGCCTTTATTGATTTTCTTTGAAGCTCAGTAAATGTCAGAGTATTATATATCTGACAAACTCTGTCACTAATCCAAACAAGTAGGTAGGTAACTTGTATATCTTCTTCCTCTTCTTTTAACACGCCACTAAATATAAGTTTTGCATGCTGCCTGAACTTTTTGAACTCATCCATAGGGTTCCGACTGTCGCAGTTTTTTGTTGGTATGGCTACACCATTTAAATCCATTATAAAGCTGTAGAAATAATTTATTTCTCTGAAGAAAGTTAAATTTTTGTGATGCGCACAATTTAATTATTTCAAGAATACTTGTAAAATCCAAATCCAATTTAATTTCCTTTATCACAATATTGTTCCTTGTTTTACTTCTAATTTTTTTCTACAATATAAAAATAACATAGCATTAATGAATATCAAGTAGAGGGAAGTAATCCCATTAACCGTACAACTAAACATGTAAAGAGTTATCTGATTTTTATATCATAACCGATACCTTCCTAATATATTTCTCATTATATTGTTATTATATCCTTTTACAGCAGAAAGTGACTTACATTTAAGTGTTACACAAAAAGTTAGTATAGCTCTATTTTTCACATAAAAAGCAATTTAAGATATCGCAGGAATGTTGATTGTGTCGTTTATGTCAATGTTC